TCTGAAGGGCCCTGGTCGAAGCACTGGGTCACGGTCACCATGCCAACCCAATGGGAGTAGGTCACGCATGCGATGGCTGCTTGTCCATTTTGGCATTTTGCTGCGCTATAGAAGTCGTGCCGGGTGTGCCAGCCCATAAGAGACGCTTACCAGACCGTCTATAAATACTTCTGGTTGGGGACTCGGTGTTGATACTGGCTGTGATCGTCGTCCTGACTGCGACGTTAAATAATTCCTGCGGAGATGGGGGCTCTCCTTAAATCCCTCCTGATCAGCCAGATCACACCGGGTAGTAAGGCTCGTTCCGTACGAGGGTAAATAAGAGTGGATGGGCTGGCTTGCCCGACAATGACTTGGGCACAGGGGTGGGCCGACATTACACACGAAGGCACTGCTGCTCGAAGATGCTTTTCGGTATGTTGGATTGAGGGGAGGGTAGGTTCTAATTGGTGCTCAACTGGAAAACACAACCATACCCACTGTTCATACATTTGTTTTTATTATTGATTAGTTGGTTGACGGACTGCTAACACCTCACAGACAGTTAGTATAAGACTGTTGTATGCTACAATAGCCAGTTCTGTGCAAAACTTCTTTAAGTGAACTAATCAAGATAGAACTAACTATGTTGACAGTCTTTTGTGAATGTTGTAGGCTGCCACTTGATCGGTCAAGTAGGGGACCTCCCGGACACATTTATTTTTAGGAAATTAGGTGCCGGTCAGACACATGCTGTGGTAGGACTCCAGCAGGGAGTTGTAGTGCAAATAGTGTTTGCCTAACTGATGAGCGGGTCAGACACCGATGAGGGTAGAGTTGACAATGTGAGACTTACACGTTCGGGAGCACTTAGGGTCCCGCACGTGTTCCGGACCCTACAACCGGGAGACGAAGCACGGCTCCGTGCCGAACGTAGAGCCCGTGCTCTTGCAGCAGCGAGGACAGCAGCGAACCTAGCAGCTAGAGAACAGGCAGCAGCAGCCAGAGCAGCAGCAATGGCTAACGGCGCAGCCTCTGCTGCATCCTCGTCAGGGACCCTGTTGGGAATGCCCTCAGGGCCCGCGGGTACTTTCGGATCAATAGGTGCTGGACAATCCACAAGTCAAATGGCAGGCGCGCAGTTAAGCCCGTTGACCCTGCGCGGTAGGGAGCTCCTAGAGCTCCAACAGGTCGAAAGGATCCGCGAGCGGTTAGAGAGGGAACTGAAACAAGCAACCGACAGAGAAAGGGAAATAAAAAATAGGACAGCCAGGCTTGATACGTTAGAGGCAGACAAAGCTGCACTAGAGGGTTTGGATGAGTCAGCTATGACTGACCAAGTGAAAATATTGAAGAACAGCATGCTGTCGCTGCATGCGCA